GAGAGAGAGAGAGAGAGAGAGAGAGAGAGAGAGAGAGAGAGAGAGAGAGAAAGATGTCCGCAGCTCTGCCTGTAGTACTACGCGCTTGCAAAGGGAACCACTATCAACTCGTGAGTTGCTCGCCATGAGCCCCTCCATTCAGCTAGCGCGTCTAGATACATGACAGCCATATCTAACAGATGATAGATAAGTGGCCGGTTATGCTCATCCTATTAGCATATGCACACACACACACGCTTATATCTAATCAGAATCTCAGCATGACAAGCATAATAAGGTTATTGTCAAAGCTCCCTACGACAGAAAGAAGAAGAAAAGTAATGGAAGCTGGCTTGGCCGTGCCAAGGAGCTAAATATAACAAGGAGAGGAAGCGGATTGGCTGTGCGCTTTTCGCCGCAAGGGCGCCATCTATAGACCATAATCAGCTGAAACGGCTGTGCAGACCGAACCCAGAGACAATAGAACACTAATTTGTTCTAGGGTCTCTGCCGAACCCAAATTTGGGCCAGATATGGCGGCGCTTCCTCTCCTTGTTATATTTAGCTACTTGGGCTGTGCTAGGATAGGGACCAGTGCTAGGACAGGAAGATGTGGTAGGACAGGGGACCAGTGCTAGGACAGGGGGCCAGTGCTAAGACAGGGGGCCTGTGCTAGGACAGGGAGCCAGTGCTAGGACAGGGACCAGTGCTAGGACAGGGACCAGTGCTAAGACAGGGGCCTTTGCTAGGACAAGGGGCCTTTGCTAGGACAAGGGACCTTTGCTAGGACAGGGAGATGTGGTAGGACAGGAACCAGTGCTAGGACAGAGGGCCAGTGCTAGAACAGGGGGCCAGTGCTAGGACAGGGGGCCAGTGCTAGGACAGGGACCAGTGCTAGGACAGGGATCAGTGCTAATTATACTCACCCCCTCTCCCCTTCACTCCACTCATCACTTAATATACATAAGCTCATACATCGCGTGCAAAAATCAGAAAATTTTCAATCGCAGTAGAGAGCACTCTGCCTCTTGATGCATTGCACCATGAGCCCTGTATATTTTTAACCAACTAATTTACTAAAGCTGTAAACCCCTTGAATGCATAAATAAATTATCAAGCCTTGGCGATTTTTATGTAAAGTGAACGGGGTACAAACGGGGAAACTGAGTGCGAATATAATAATAAAATCAATCCGTCTGCGTGTTTTGGATCAGGGTTTCTCTACGAGTGAGTAAATTATTGTAAGCGTCTGTCTATATGCCGTGTCCGATAAGCAGGGTCCCAACGGATGAAAGCGCAAGACGAAATTACTCGCACTTTCATCTCTATGCTAATATTTGCTAGTTTAGTCATGCTTGCCAATTTATTAGTGCGAGGTTTAACCTTTAATTTAACATTTCTTAACATAACTTTTCAACTTTTTAACATTTAACTTGCAAGTTAAGTCAAACTTGCCAATTTATTAGTGTGAAATGTCGTAAAGAAAAACTTGTCAGCAAATTTGTCGAAGGAATTGTATACATATATATATATATATATATATATATATATATATATATATAATATTCAAAAATCACTATTTAATAGTATCGGCTGCACAGGGGATAAACAGTCAGGCAAAACATAAAATAAATAAAAATATCACCAGTAGTAGATACACACTATATTAGTTCTATATCTTTGGATTACCTTACATTTGCATGGAATCTACATGCTTGGTGTAGCACTGGGAGAGACCGTATTTTAAATATTAATCATTAATGCAAAGAGGGATGTGCCCGGGAACTGTTCTATACTATGCTTGAAAACAATAAGAAAATCAATGAAATTTAAGCTAATTGGTCATTTGACCGCTCTCACATACTGTGTTATGAGGACTATGGACTATGTATGAGCAAGGGTGCATGTGACTGCATGGCATTACACATATTATAATACCATTATCACTATTATAATCTAAAATATAACACTTTATATTTTAGATTATAATAGTGACCTCATATGCAAATTTTATGCAAAATTAGCTTCCATAGCTGACATTAGTACCTACCTGTTCGGGTCGATTAACTGCTCTACTACAGTAGAATTTGGTCTCCAACATTCACTTGAACACATGTTGAGTTACAGAAGTGCATAACCTTCTACCACAAAAGACATAATCTACCCCAAAAAACATAATCTACCCAAAGACACGCAATAATTGTCAACATATTTTACAGTAGACAAGCAGGTTGTCAGATATTTGTACACTGTTTTAATAATTGTCAATAACTGTCAATAATTGTCAACTGTTTTTACAGTAGACAAGCAGGATGTCACGTATTTATGCATCACCACGAGTCAGACAAGCAATTACAGCGGATGCTGCATTTGAGATGCTGTCAAGTTGAATAATGGTAAGTGGCTTCACCATTTAAACCCATTCATTCGCCTCTGGGAAATTTAAAATCGCCGACAATCGGGTACGAGTAGATATTGGGAAAAAATCTGCAAACATCATGAAAGGAGACTTTCACTCAATTCACGACATTTCTGAGAGCAATTGAAGCTCTATTCGGGCTTCCTCACAGTCAGAAAACGTGTTCAACCCTCTAGAGGCAAACTCCCTATGCCTCCTAAAGGTTCCCTATGCTTTTCGTTCGCATATTCTATTGTGGACCAACTGACTATGAAAAAACATCCACAACTCTACTCTAAGTATGAACAGACATGCACGTGGCAACAACCACTCTCTCTCTACATTAGAGACAACCACTCAAATAGCAACAGATACAACCGATCCGCGAACAAACTTCCGATTATATACACTAACGTTAGAAAGACCCTTCAACACGGCTCACCGATATAAGGTACCCCCCTTAAAGTGATTACGTCACCGTAAATAGTAAAAAAAATAAAAAATCCACTTTTCCACAAAATATAAGTAATTCTGTTCACTTTTTATGGTTAAATTGCTGCATTATACTTCTTATTTTACTATATTGTTCGATGTGAACATACACTCGTGTGCACATACGCACTCGTGACGCATACAAAGCCTATAGCAAGCAATTAATGTCAGGAACATTAATATCAAATCGTCCAGATTTTTTGGATTTTTAACTAGTTGAGAAACAATCTTATCAGGTAAGAATTTGACGATACGTTTAGTCCCGTTAGCTCTTACTTTTAATGTAAAAAAATGGCAAAAAAATGTTTACAAATTTTAGCAGAGAAAATTCGTGACATATTGAATTTAACCTAATTCCCGATGACAGTGGGAAACACACTGCAGCCAGCAGTCCACAAAAATCTAATCACTGCATCACAGAACCAGCGGCTACTATTTGAGAACGATAAAAGAACCGAAAAGACGATTATAAATTCCGAGTGTAGTAGTCAATTATAATTAGTGGCAGTGGAATGATTACTTAATCAATGAAATTCACATGCTGTAGAATGCATGTAATTCACTAAGATTACATATTTATATATATTTTGCAGTGTTTCCCCTGGCCAAAAAGGTCAGTGAGGTGGTAAATTATGTTTTGGTGTGTTTGCGCGTTTCGAGGTCCTAGCAAAGCGAGGGGGTGGTCCGGGGCATGCCGCGCAAAAAATCTTTGAAAAAATGGTGCAATTTGATGCATTCTAAGCTATTTTGGTGCATTATAAGCACTGTTCTATGGAAGAACAGTGATTTTCGTCAGCGAGGCGGTGTTTTGGACAAATTTCTGTGTGGCAGCTAAGAATTTGAGCGAGGCGGCCTGCCTCGCTCGTGTCAATGCAGGGAAACACTGTTTTAATACTGAACAAAAAGGAAGCATACAGCATGTGAAAACACGCGCAACTGCACTCACATTTTAGATGTGGTTCACAGATTCGCAGATGAAACTGTAATTGCAACTGCACAGGCTGCACAGGCTGCACAGGCTGCACAAGCTGCACAGGCTGCACAGGCTGCACAAGCTGCACAGGCTGCACAAGATGCACAAGCTGCACAAATTGCTACAATTCTAGCGACTCCAGCTCTAACTAGTGGATTACAAATGAACTCATTATTGTACACTTACGGATTCCTTAGCTTGTTGGGCGATCTTGGCTGCGTTGGACGTGAACAGCGACCAACCCTGCAAATACACAAGACAAAAACACTTAAACATCGCACTTAAAAAAATCAATGCCCCAAGCACGTAGCAAGAAAATGAGACAAGGGATGCTAGCGAAATTCTAAAGAGATCGAAAGAGAGGGGTGAGTGAGCAAAGAGCAAGTGGTTAGTACAATTCAGAGCTCAAAATGAAAACGTTAATGTCTGGTTGCAAAGAAACAACTCCCAAAAATTACATACTTGGCACAGACAGCCAAAGAAAGGTAAGACCAGGGGGTGAATAACGACAAATTAATCATTCATTAATTAAATTTGTCATTAATTAAATCTGTCATGATTTACCCCTGGTAATTATACCTATATAAATAGGTCAACACAACAACAGGTAATCACGATTCGGTCGACTTCTGTCAATGCTTTGAGCATTAGCCACTGCAGTAATGTTAGCTGCCACCCGGACACTAGATCCGCTAGTCTTACAGCTAGTCCACATTACAGCCCGAGGAATATGAACTGTACGTGACCAACAAGCATTCGCATCTCTCGGCACATACATGTATTACTCGACGCTTTTCTATGACAGCGTGATGAGCACATGCTCACTCGCGCACGCACGCACGCACGCACGCACACACATACACACACACGCACGCACGCACACACGCACGCACGAACGCACACACATACGCACGTACACCCACGCACGCACGCACGCACGCACGCACGCACACACACACACACACACGGCTGTACGCTACGAACATATAGACGTGGGTTTGCAACAAGACATCGCGCCATGTCGCAATTTATTTTATTTAAGTGCGCAATTCGATGCTCGCAAAGTGCAAATGCGAATGGTTACACGAGAAGGGGAAAATTGCGCATAAATTATTGGCAGCCATGGCGTATCTTGAGGCTCACCCCCTCACAACTAACGTCATTATAGGGAGGGAACGAACTGCTTCTAGTCATGTTCAACTTAATTGCTCTGACCTTATCTCAGTTGGTAGAATTAAGGTGTATGTGTCTACGTCTCTCTCTCGCTCTTTTCTCGCTCTCTCTCTCTCTCTCTCTCTCTCTCTCTCTCTCTCGCACTCACTCTCTCTCACTGTCTCTGCCTGTCTCTCCCTCGCTCTCTCTTTCTTTCTCTCTCTCTCTCTCTCTTTACCCCCCTCTCTCTCTCTATCCCACTCTCCGCTACTATCTCGCTCTCTCACGTCCACCTTCCCTTCCTGCCACACACCCCTACTCTTACCACCTGCCTAATATCACCCTCCTTACCCCCTCTCTCCTCTTCATCTCTATCACACCACCTTATCTTTTCTCACTCTTTCCGACCCCACTCTCTCCCCCTATCCATTCCCCTCTTCTTTCGATTCCCCTATTATTTATCTCTCACTCTTACCCTAACCATAGCTTTCTCTTCCCTGCGTCACTCCCTCCCTGCCACCCTCTCCCTTCTCTAATCTAACCTCTCAACCTGCTTGCAGAGTATTGAAGATCGAGTATTAGTAACGACATTGAACCACGTGAAAAATATAAAAAAAAATCTAAAATCTAAAATATCTAGCTACTGTGACAATAAGCTCTAATGAATAACATCTAGCTATTAGGGCTATAGTTACTAATGCAACAACCCTTCAGACGAGTTCTGCATCACTGAATACATAATTTTTATCATTTCTGCAAATTCTGCAACCTACGATTTCACCGTCTCGCATTTCAAACGTTTAAGTTATGCTAATTCCAGTTTCGGTTACATATCGTAACAAAGTAGTGCGCATAGCCGGGACATTCAATGTTGCACTGGCAACACTGGCAATATACGACATATACGGCAAACCTGCATGGCATACACTGGCAATATACGGCATATACGGTAAACCTGCACTGCATACACTGGCAATATACGGCATATACGGCAAACATGCACGGCATACACTGGCAATATACGGCATACACTGGCAATATACGGCAAACTTGCATGGCATACACTAGCAATATACGGCATACACTGGCAATATACGGCATATACCGCAAACCTGCACGGCATACACTGGCAATATACGGCATATACGGCAAACTTGCATGGCATACACTGGCAATATACGGCATATACGGCAAACTTGCATGGCATACACTGGCAATATACGGCCAACCTGCACGGCATACACTGGCAATATACGGCATATACGGCAAACTTGCATGGCATACACTGGCAATATACGGCCAACCTGCACGGC